GCAGCCAACCAATCAGAGCCTCTGCATGTGACGCTTCATTTCCTTGATATTTCTGGCCAAGACTCCAAGTGAACGCTGATTGGACGAAACGCTTCTTAATGTTTCCTGATGCTTGCTTGTCTTTTGCAAGCAATTTTCTGGATCACCCCAACAAAAAGAACCAGCATATAGCATAGGTCTCCGTTGAAACGCTTAGGAAGAACAGAGCAGAGGAAGACAAGGGAATCGCCGAATACACAAAAGCAAATGAATGAACGAAGATAAGCATAAGAGCTCACAAGCAAAGATACGTAAAGTACCTAGCATTGACAGTGAAAAAATTCTGCAAGAGAACTAAATATGTTATAGCGAAGAAACTTTCAGGGAAATATTGTAAACCAGAGGGAATATTCAAGAACAATCAAGGCAAACCAGTCACTGAGATTTAAGAGCAGTAGAACAGGTGCATAGAACATTTCAAATACAATACACTGGTTTTTGCTCATCTAGCTCTACCTGGCTTAAATGGCGATGTTTCGGGAATTAGTGGTTGGTACATTAAGTTGAATACCTCTAATCATCATATTGGCGCTGCAATGAAGCCTGTGATTGAACCGATGGATATACATTCAAGTTATGGAGTTTTCAAAAATTACATAGGAAGGTTTAAAATCGGGAGTATGACCAGAGAAGATGTTAAGGATGATAAAATTGTGGAGCATTTCTTCATATTCGTTGGATAGGATGCTTTCAACTTACTAAAAACTTTGGGATTCCCAGATAAGCCTATTTCACTTCCCTATGCAACTATCAAAGAACAAAATGTTGTGACGTGCGGTGTCCGAAGCCTGTTACTGATACACGGTTTGCTACGTACTAACCTCCTTATTGACTACTTGCGTGAGAAAACAAGAGTGAGAGAGAAAGTATATCAGGCTACTGAGTGAAATGAACAAATACTCATTCATATATAAACCAGTAAGTTGACTCCAATGAAACGCACTTGACCTTTAAGCCACTTCTGATTGCTAATGACCTTTTCATTAGACTACTGATTGGTTCTCCATATCACTACTATCAAATCACATAAAGTGCATTAATTTTGAATGCCGTGAAAGGGCAAAATTTCATAAAATGATTCGTCAAAATAACCAAAAGGTTAGGGAATTTTTTCAATTGCAGAAACAACCTGTCAAGTGTAATCTTGTCAGTACCTCATATCCAGCTGCATGAAGGATTGGTTACAAGAATTAACCGACTAAATGTGGAAAGAGAGCTTATACAAATGAAGAAGTAATCCTTTCAAGATGCTAGAACTGTGTTTATAAATTATGAGACAGTGAATGAAATCGACTCCCAGGACATTAGGAATTCTACTACATTACTTAGTTATCCTAATCCAATGTATACTCAATATCTTGCAGATAACAATTGATTGAGGACTTGCAAAGCAGGTTACAGAGGTTAGCACAAGTTCGGTAAATGTTTGTTCTGTGGTAAACTTCACTCACGTAATTATTGTGTGTTTCGTAATGCTAAATGCTTTGAATGTGGTAAAATTGGACATATCCAGTAGGTTTGTAAAACCACTGCTCATTTCGCTGCAAGTAATGCTAAACTTTGTAATTTTTACCCAGTTAATTTGGTTGATTATAATGATCATATACTATCCTTATTTACAAATTCAAGTAATTTACTTCAGACTCAAAAACCGTCATATTTGTCTAATGATGCTTTATACGATTTTATTGTTGACACTAACAGTATCAAGTCCATTATTTAGGTTGAGAGGTTGAAGTTTTTAAATTCTGATGTCATAATTATGCCTATCAAAGTTCCTATTTCCAGTATTACGGGTCGTAAACTTTCTACTCTTGGATATTATAATTTTTTAATTGAAGACAATAAATCTTTGATTACAAATCGTGAATTTCTCATCACTGCTTATGAGCTGATTATTCTGGGTCTGGACAATATGAGAATACTTCCATGACAGCCTTCCTTATTGACTACTGGAATTGGTTCTAATGAGGTGCTTAATAACTCGCTAACTACGGAACCGAAGTGCAGAATATTTCGCACAACTCCAAAGTTCCCTCATTCTCGTATGCAATCAATAAGTTTCAAGATTTTAAAAACAAACGTCAGTTCTACCACTGTTGCAAAGTTAGAATACCCGGAGACGAGAGCAAATAAAGTCATTCAGCGCAAAATTACTAGAACGTATTCAAACGAAGCAATGACTGGATGGTGGTTGGAGGTAGTCGACAGGAAACCCTGGATCCGGGTTTCGTGCTGCTTGGCAATCGTCAGCAAGGTGTACCTGTAATCTTTAGGGAACTAGTGCTCCCTGGCGGATTCAATCCCGTGTCACCCAGCTTCACAGTCAGAAGCGTTACAAGAAATCAGGTGGTTGTGTTCCAACTTCGGTTGCTAATTAAAATAATTATGAGTACATTTGAGATCATCCAGAGTCTACATCCAATACATAGTCGAACAGACACAAGAGGAACCTAAGGAGAAGAACAATTGATCACAGAAATTTCGATTCTCATTCAAGCTGTAGTGGTTTTGGTATTTGAACAAACTAATGACTCGTTTGTACTCAATTACGCTCTTACTACGAATTAAAAATACAAACGTTGTTATTTGCCCATTTAGTTATACCTGGCTTAAATTGCACTGTTTCGGGAATTTCTACTTAGTACATTAATCTGAATGCTTCTAACCATCATACTGAACCGATTGTGTCTATGTTTTCACCAATAGTCCGGAGTTATCATCTATCTTTTCTAGAGGGCTTAAAGCATCTAACCTAATTATTCTTGACAGTCGAGGAGTTTATCTCCAGCTCCATTGCGAGATTTACTTAGAAACTTACCTTATTTCTTTTCAGGTGAATCAACTGATTCGAGTAATTATTTGTTAATTATTTATTACGACTAAGTCTTGTGTTATTGTATCCGTAACAGCTATCAAGCATTGTAAATTTGAAATGCTGTGATTCAAGTGGAGATATCGAAACGAACTCTTGAGTTTGACTTGTTTGAGTTTTTATTTGTAGTTTCCTATGAATTCTAATGGTTTTATAATTGCTATTATGGCATTTTAGATCTGATGACAAGGCCTGCATTTGGATTGACGAAAGTTTGATTAAATGGTAATTAAATGTATATTTATCGTGATTCGCAGAAAAGTTCTTGTTCACGTCCACATAGTTTGGGTTTCTATTTCATCCTTGTCTGTTCTTTGTTCATATGTCTTTATGGTATTATTACCTGAAGGTACTATAGCAACTCTCCTACAATCAGTTTCGATAATGGTTAAAATTTGTTAAGCCCTTTTATAACCTGCTTAGCGGACAATGTTATTCAAACAGTAACAGTCCACATATTGTTTGGACTATTGTGACCACTATCTTGTCTGTATAAACATGTATGCTTGGGCACATGTGATAGCCTCTCTTTTAAAAAATTTTAATATCATAAATATCGCTCGATGAGTCATTCTCTTTTCCATGTATATGTACTCGAATTTTATTATTAGCCTTTGTCTTGCATTGCTGCGCTTTATTCGATTTGACTGCAAATTTGCCTGTGTAATTGCTCGCATACACATATTCGCCTCTTCGCTTCAAATTCTCTCGCTGTGCTTGTAGCTTTGTCATCCGTGCTACCCACTAATAAACTATAGTTGCCTCCGCTTATTGCCTTCTGATTTTAAACATCGTTGGGGTTTATATTGTAGTGACCTACTTCTATCAAGAGAACGCGATTAGTTTAATGAAAACAATTATTATTATAACCAGTTATACTAATGATTGTTTTACTGTGCTCGTTTGTTTGACAGTGCTAAAGACAGCCATATTGCTCTTCCATTATTCTCCACTACTGCTCGCGGCTCGTGACCCCGTTCGCACGTACTTCCTCCTGCCGATTCCGCTTGTACCTTTTCTTGGCACGATCTCGGTATTCATTCGATACCACGAGATCGACAACGAATAAATCTGGTTACATTCAATCTTCGCCTTCTGATTTATTTGGCACATGTTTTTTGTAGTGGTGTTCATAGTCAACTGGGACCCGACACCACGCTACAATATAATAACGGTTGTAAGGATAATTGATTAATGATGCTAAGCCACTATAGTTGTTCATATAAACACTGTTGCACAGCTTGATAATAAATTCGTCGAAAAGAGATCCACTTGCTGAACTTCTGGAATTTTTCCTTTAACTCGTTGTTAATTGAGAATCCAGGATGTGATTTGATTATTTACTGAATTGAATTCATGTAGCTTTCGGACTTAACACTTGTAAAGTCTCATTTGTAAAACTATCAGTGGTTTGGTTGCTAACGCGATGTAGGTTCATAAGCACCATATTTTTGCGACACCATTTTATTAAATAAGTATATTGACTTCGAAATTCATCACTACCGTTCAATTACGTTGCTTGACAATTAGTTAAGGGAGGTTGAAAACATTGGATAAAATACTAAAAACAAGGATTCCAATGAGAATAATTTGCGCATTTTTAACTGTATACTTAAGTTCGAAATGGAAGCAAACGGCGTTAGCCTTTAAAGACTAACATTATTCCCGTTGTGCCTGCCATATATCATTCGTGCTCTTATCCTATTGTAATACTTGTTACACATTTTCAGAAGTATCGTATTTAGAAAGCTCATCATCTACGCCGTCTCGTAAAATTCCGTGCATCTCAGCAATGATTTTTATAACATTATTTACATATGTTGTGGATTATGTTGTAATCCATTTATATATTGATAGTGTTGTGTAGCGGGTACCTTGTTTCAAAACAGTTTTATTAACCACTGGATAAGCAGCTTGTATCAATTAGGAACTATGTGCTTACTATCAATTTAAAACTTACATAGTTTCGTATGAATGGTCTATCGACAAATCATCACTCTATATTTCATTCGTTTGACTACCGAACCAAAAGTCATACTGGAAGGATTAATCAGTGTCTCGCAAGGATTTTTATTTATGATCTTAACTTTTTTACGTAATGTTTCATATAATCATCTGCATCTTCAGCCGTCATTTTGCGAACTTAAGCTAAAGAAGCAAGAGAGAAAACAGATTTTATAAACAATGCCAATTCAAGAAGAATCTAACCTTTTTTGATGTATCCATGTAATGTATTGTAAGCGTTGCGATACAGATTTTCCAGCATATACCATAATCTGCAGCTGTAATGAGTTGTCCAAATACATGAATGTTTTGCATTATTGCTTCGTTGACAATCGCCACTCTAACTGCTGCATTTTCACGTGATGTAATATTCCAGACTGTAATTAACATGAGTGACTGTGGTATTAGTGAGAACTAATCCAAGAGATTTAGCTTGAAATCTTCTTGGTCTGCATCTGAAATATACACTGGTTATCACCCTATGGGTTTTTGACAGCCGATAATTCAGCTTTACACATGCTTATAGCTCAGTACTTCATGTAAGACATAAAACAAGGTATCTACATACCATCAAATTGAACGTTATATTTTTTTAATTTAAAATGATGAATTTCTACATTAAATAAAAAGAAGAAAAATGACATTCTATTTCTCCATAGCAACGAAAAGTAGGTGCGATTTGAAGTCCGCTAGAATCTAAATCTAATCCTGATAAGTCCCATATAGGACTTCTATCTTTCATTTCTATGGAGCATGTCAAACTCACATTCATCTAATTATTATTACCTTCATTGTTCTTTCCGCACACTGCCATATTCATTCTTTTTCGTCTTTGGAATGCGAGTTTAGAAAGTTCTGTTATCGACATCATCTTATTCTATCTCTTTGTTGACTTCAAATCTCTCTTTACATTGCATATGGTAGAATAATAAGATCACTACTGTAATTATAAGTGAGTTGGCAACAACTAGTCTTAACAGCTATATTCACCTACTATGAACCTTTAGTGGCACTGGTTCTCAACTGAAAAGGTTATTATTCGACTTTTGCCACTTAGAAAAGGTCAAAAATGATCGACGTGAGGTATTTAATTAGTATGTCATGGCTTGACCATACAGGCATGGTCACTCTAGCCATCCTCTTTTTTAGATACTAAATACATTCTATTCCAAGTCCAAATATATTTTTCAGAATTCCTACACAGAATATTACTGACTGTCGTGATAGGACGAGTCAGTATAGACAGTAATGTTATTTCCATTTAAGATCTTATAGATTTGGTAGTCACATCATGACAAACCTATGATTTTGGGATTAAGTCGTATATTCTATCATCAAAGATAAATGAGCCTAATACTGACCCACATGTTGACCTACCAAGTTTATTCGTCTGGAATTAGATAAACAAACTGTAAATCACCCGCTACATATTGTATAACTTATTTTGGCGAGCGCTTATAATACATTGAATCATTTACCAACATAAAGACAAGACAGAAAAGGAATCTGTTTGTTATTACGCTGATTTGTCAAACTAATATAGTTTAGTCTCGACTTACTACGGTCGTCCGACAAGAACTGTCGTGGAACGCAAATTGTATAGCACCGAAAGCAGTACTATAGTTGACAGAACGAAACCAAACAAAAATAACTAACGAATGGATAATACGTATATTGTGACGGACCAATAGAAATGTTAAAATACATTGACTCAATTCTCCAAAACATACACAAAGGACGAGTAAAAAGAACTCAAAAACGAGTACGTAAAAATCTGAGTTGTGATTATCAGAATAGTCTGTGTTCGTAGGTTCAGATATATATTCACAATTATGGTGGTGTTTGAGCAATAATTCCAAGAACTGCCAGATATTGATCTAAAGTGTTCGTGTGCAGTTGCACCGTCATTGTGTTTTCTATCGAGTGAATATTAAAATACACTCGTAGATGTATCTGGACACAAAACAATCCTTGGTCTTTTTGAGAATCCACTCTTTTATTTTGTCTATTTATCTTCATTTTATACATGCTGTGACATATTTGGTCCATATGATATATAAAAATTGTATGTTTTCGTAAAAAATCACCGACCAGAGACTACATATAGTGACCGACATTTCTCTCACCACTTACGTATATCTGTTATCTTAACAAACTGACAGTTTACTGTTTAATGTTCAGGCGTCTGTACTTTGAGCGCGTAAATCAGTTGACAGGACGGTACAATTGAATAAAACAGCTTGAAGTCCGCAAACTGAGTCGTTCAACACGCTTTCAACGATCTTCTTGTAGAGTACGCCAGTTGAGTATATGAGCCACATAGAAGATTGACGAAACGAAGAGGGTTACGGATTTCTTCGTTTTTGCTTTAAAAGCAAACCATTGAATGGCCAACAACATGAACAAATTTAAAAGTAAGACTGACAAGCAATCGTATCGGATCCATTCTGTCCGAAGCTGTTGAACAAACCCTCGTTTATACCATGCCTAGTACCACGTAGACCAATTGGTTCTTTAAATAACTGTCCACTATCGATAACTAAACAAGTCAATAAACTTCTTGGACGTAGGAAGAGCACTGGAGTATGTTAATCTCTACTGGTTTGAAACAGTACAGACCTAGTTATTGCAGGACTAGGAATGCTTGTAAAGCGTTGTTAAGTAAGGCGAGACAGTCATATGAAAAACAACTGGATAGGTATTGTGAAAATAGTCCGAAAAGGTTACTCTCGTATGTAAAGAGGCGAACTCAGAGAAGTGGTAGAATCACATCACTTTTGGTACAAGAAAAACCGTTAATTTGGCAAGAGACGATGCCAAAAGGCTGATAAGTCCAGTAGTCCTATTCACCCTAGGTTTATGAAAGCCCTGTTGGATGTAATTGCTGAACTTATGACCAAACTGTGTGATGTTTCTGCGGCTGTCCAGACTGTCAGGAGACTGAAAAGACGCAATAATTAGTCCGGTGTATTAGGTGGAGAACAGAGACTTAGTAACTACTGATCCGTCAGTCGTCAAATTAATTGCTTACTCACGCCTGTTACTCCTCGTGGATAAGCATAGGCCGCCCGCCAGCACTCTCCATTCAACCCTGCCTTAGGAAATCCTTTCCAGTTGTTATTCCTCCTTTTCATATCTGCTTGTTCCTGACGTAATGTGTTTTTTGGCCTTCCACTTTTCCTCTTCCCTTCAGGATTCCAAGTTAGGGCTTGCCTCGTGATGCAGTTTGATGATTTACGTAATATGTGTCTTTTCCTAATTTCCTCTTCAGCTGGAAGCTGATTTGTTCTCTCACAAAACGCTATTACTGATGGTATCTGACCAACGGATGTTGAGTATCTTGCGTAGACAACTAATTATAAATACTTGTACCTTCTTGATGATGGTTGTTGTAATTCTCCAAGTTTCAGCTCCGTACAGTCGAACTGCCTTGACATTCGTATTGAAGATTGTGACTTTGATATTGGTTGAAAGTTGGGTTCCATGTGTTATGTAATAATAGGGATGTGGCCCTTGCCTTGCCAATCCTCGCCTTTACATCTGCATCTGAACTTTGTTCATCGATGATGCTTCCCAGGTGCCATCAAACTAATGAAAAAGATTATTCGGATGACTATTTTAAGCTATGTGAAAGGACACAAATAAAGTTATCAGCTATGCAGATTGGGCTACGATAGATGACACCGAGTATAAATGTGCAACCTTCAAAGTGAGTTCACAGCTAGTGACTTTACAAGTTCCACTGTCATGAGATTTACAAATAAAGGGACGGAAATCTATATTATTAGCTATATCCTTACGGACCCCAGCCCTTTTCTTGTGTCTGTTTCCTATCTATTCCTCAGGTAGTTGTATTCTAATAATCCTGGAGTGATGTCAAAGTCATGGACTATCCAAGTTTCGATCAAAGCTGCTATGAGTGCCTTTAATCCGTCCACAAATACTCCTAGTTCATGGAATTTATGTCGCAGACTACGAGCATTTGTAGACAAAACTCTTAAAGACAACGACTTATCCATACAGGTCTTGGTAACATTCGCTTTCAAGAAGTGATTACTTAAAACCCACTAAGCGAAGATCTTGTCCAGCTAGTGACGCCTTTATTCTATCTTCTAGAGACTTGCTAGGTCTTTCTCGAATGTCGGTGTCATCTCTACTCCGAGCGCTAGTTAAGAAAAGATTTCGTTGTTTTTCCGGTCCTAGGATTACCCTAAAATGTCTGCATGGTCGGGGCTCAACATTTTCCTCGGTACTCTTGATCATTCTTATCGGGTTTTTTGTTTGAACTCCTATAGAGTCATCTGGGAAGATGCTGCAAATATATTTTCCAGCCTTTCGCAAATCATGTATATATCTAGTTTTTGGGTCAGTTAATTCTAGCAAACTACTCACAATAATGTTCGATTAGATTAACCTTTTTCTAAACACTATGGTTAACTCGAATTTTATTTAGGAACTTTGTTAGAATGTTCTATGGCTCAGAGTGGTAGTCTACCAAAGACTTATCAACCAAAAGAGCGCCGTTGGTGGCTTTTTTTCATTTTCTTTATTTCTTCATTGTCGTCCAGTTTCCGTCGCTGTTTCGCATTTTGTTTGTTTCATTGGGAAATTTCTTTTCCTAGATTTTCCAGTCGCATTACTGAAAATATACTTCAATTAGTAATTTCTACATAACGTATGCCTGAACACCGATTACCACGACGCACAATGCCGACTAGTGTTGGGTATGGATGGAAGAAAGTTAGGGGCGGACAAACCAAAACATAGAATCAGTCCTTGAAGTTACTAACTTTCTACGGCGTTAATTCTTTCTCCCTGTATCATATCCTTATATGAAGTGTTGATTTTTTACTGCCATTGAGGTAACTGTGCATATTAACTTGGTGTTGATTTTGTTGTGCTAATGAGGTGTGGTAACTTGGACCGATGCATATATGTGCTTGGTCTTACGTTGTAGCTGACTGACTTAGTAAATGAGTATGATTTTTTCTGACTAAATAAAAAGTGTATGTACTACAATCTTTCAGGTCTGTGAGGATTGCTGTTGAATAAAAGTATTTTGTGACATTCCTACATCTAACCAAAAGTTATATATATATATATATATTGAATAACCCATCCTTATTGTGTAACGTCTATGTTGTCTTTGGATCACCATACATACTGATGTACTCTATCTCTTGAGTTGTGGAAGAAAACTCGGCTCTCAGCATCCATCACTCGTCTGATGTATTTTTCGTAACAGGAAGCACTTTGAAACCGCGAACATAGAATACATAATCAATATTGTTTATTCTAATTTTAACTTTGAATCCTTCTGTAGGATCTATAATCACTTATCCCTGTTTCAGTTTTAGTCCCATATGAAATGTAATTAAGTGCCCGGTTAGCTTTCCTAACGTAAACTAAAATCTCCTTTATAGACTTGCGAAGATTACTCCTATAATTTTATCACATCATTCTTACTAAACAACTGTTGCAACTAATGAACTGATCTCTGAATTTTCTGTCTTGCAATGTATCTTCTAAAGTCCTTAGTTCTTCAAGCATTTTCTCATGTTTTTCCATATATTTCTCCACTAACACCTATCTTTACTTTGATTGAGGTCATGAATCGATGATTGTTAGGCCATCATTGGAAACCTGGAAAGACGAAACGGCCGTTTCGTCCTGGTATGGGACTCCTCAGCGGTGCGCATCCACGGTCTCACGCGTGATTCCAACCTAGAACCTTCGATTTTGCGCACGAACGCTTAACCTCTGAACCACTCAGCCTATTTTTACACCGACAGGTCACGCACTTGTAATATCAGCTTTCCACAAGTTGTAACGACCTTAAGTGATCTGTCAAACCATGTGTCAGTCAGTCAGTCAGTCAGCTACAACGTAGGACCAGGCACATATGTGCATTGGTCCAGGTCGCCATACCTCATTAGCACAGCAAGATGAACACCGGATTCATAGGAGTGGTTAGGTCAAAGGTGGTAATATATAGGAGAAAGATTGCAATAAAGATATAGTATAGGAAGAAAGAATTAGTTCGTAGAAAGAAAGATATGAAGTGATTTTAATCTCTTAGTTTAACGGAAGACAGGGAGTGTATACACCGACGCCATTGTGATCGATTCTGAGCCATGTCACCAAGAGTCTCCAACCATTGGTTACGATAGTCACGCGGACCCCAACCAAGTAGTCTCCATTTACCAACATGGCTCAGACTAAAAGTTAGTGACTTCAGGCACTGATGCCACGTTTTGGTTTGGCCGCCCCTAACTTTCTTCCAACCAACCCCTACACCGGTTAGCATTGCACGTCGTGGTAATCGGTGTTCAGGCATTCGTAATACGTGGCCCAACCATCTCAGTCGATGAAGATTCATAACCTCATCAACTGATTTACCATCATTCCCTAATACCCTGCGCCTAACCTCACTATTACTTACCCGGTGATCCCAGCAGATGCCAGCAATATTTCTAAGGCATCTGTGGTCAAATACTTGTAGCTTACGGGTGTCTTCTACTCTTAAAGGCCATGTTTCGCTGCCGTAAATTAAAACAGAACGAACTGCCGCGCAGTATACTCGTCCTTTTATTGATAGACGGATATCTCGCCTCCGCCAAAGGTGACGTAAGTTGGCAAAAGCCAAACGAGCTTTTCGAATCCGTGCTGAGATTTCGTCAGACACCAACCCAGAATGAGCGACAATCTTCTACCGACCCTCTCCAACGATGACTGATAGCAATATGGTCTATTTGAGTCCATCGTTGGTTTGGTGTAGGGGGTCGCCATGTTAGACGATGTCTCTCCTTATGCTTAAAATTTGTATTTGCTAAAAATAAACGATTGTCTGAGCATAGCTGCAGCAGACGATCACCATTATCTGTTCGCTGTGTCGGAATACTAAAATATCCACCTAAATGCCTTTCTGTTTGGTTTAAACTGAGCATTAAAATCACCTGCTACGAGTACTATGTCTGAGCGTTTAGCTTTCTGAAGAAGTTCAGAAAGCTTTCTGTAAAATTCATCTTTCACTTCATCTGAGCTGCAGTCAGTGGGAGCGTAGACAGAAACGACAAAAAGGCAACGACGTGTGTCCCTATCCTTCCGGGTTCTTACGTAGCCGTTCAGCCGAACAGCACATAGACGACTGCTGACGGGGATCCACTCTAGCAGTGCTTGTTCGGCCCTCATGTTTAGTGCTATGCCTACACCTGCCAGTCCACGAGAACTTGCCATCGGGTCACCAGATACACGAAGGGTGTATCTCGTTGGCTCTCCGTTTTGCCAAGGTGAGGTCAAGCGAATAACCACACTGGAATCCTGTATGCGTGTTTCGGAGACACAGCACACGTCAATGGTAAGAGACTCTAGGGTTTTAGCCAAGGAAGCCTGCTGACCGATTTGACATAGGGTTCGTACGTTGAAGGCTCCAATGTGTAGTTTGGAGCGAGGTTTCAGTAGACCTGGGACAGTGTTTTGCGCACTAGAATCGTTGGCTATGGTGACACTTGAGGTGGAAGCCGAGAGAGGAAATTTAAAGTTGAAAGTCGATGTAGGAGGAATAATAGGAATTGAAGAGGGAGGTTGATTGTGAATACAGTGGTCTTGAGTGCTGTTAGAGGTATGAGGGCGGTTATCACTTCCCGGTTGCCCACACCGTGGGAGGGTTGTTCTGGAGGTACCTGAAAAGGAAATTGGATTAAAGGTGGTCTTAGTGACCTGAGAGCGTGACCGCAGTGCCCAAGGGACAACTGCTTGAGGTCGGTCACACACGACCTTTTTATGGGTAATTTTTGTGTTAGCTCCGTACTTATTTAGACCTTACCGCCGGAGACGGATATCCGTGGGATAAGGCGAGGTGTGCATTTTTAGGGTCGACCTTTTCTAACCCCACCCCTCCTTGTGGGAAGGCAGCATCGCTGTCATGCTGGTTGTCTGAAGGAAACACCTTACTGCTGTCACACCTCTGTACAGTCAGCAGTACGACTTCGCCTTCGGACCTTGGGTTTGTTGCTTTTAGTCTTACCGCTCTTCAACCGACCTGTCTGACATGGTAGGACCTTGAGGAACGGTTGTTCCAGCCAGTATAGCTCGGTTGCTTCATCACGATAGGCAAGCCCGACCACCACGTCAAGGTAGCAACAACGGTCAGTAAATTGAATCCATACATTAGAAGCTCATCTGTCGTTGTGAAGGACAAGAACACTTGTTCTGTAGATTGTTTTCCTTTGAAATTTCCATTAAAAATATGTGAAGAACGAAGCATCTTAGAAATTGCGTTGTAAGTGGGCAAATATTTCTTTAAGTGTTAAGTTTGCGAAACGACGCGACTTCATTTCTGAATAGTGGAAATCCCCCAAGGGATTTCCCCAGTCCAATGTATTGCAGATTATCTCAAGATGAATACTACGGGATTTATCCAAACTATAAATAATTTATGGCTTTCTCCTAAACGATTAGAAATTGTCGTAGTTCTGCAGTGAATTTGATTAGGCTTGTGGAAATTGTGTGAAAACAGTGGGGACAACTGCAAAAGTCTCACAGCGTTTTATGTGTTGCTCCTAGATTTCAACTTAGTTTGAAGAAAAACTCCAGCTCAGTCCTAATTTTGGGGTTTAAATTGTTCTTCCCTAAATTTTATTCAGTATATTGTAATGTGATTTTCCCTTGTTTGTAAGATGGGGTTGTGGGCTACAGATATTTGATTTTATTTAATATTGCTCTCTCAGTACATTGTTTTTTATTTCCTGTCCTGTCCTTGTTGCATCCAGTTTAACGTTTAAGGCGGATAGTATCCAAAATGTGATAAATTACCAAGTTACGAGTATTTATCCGGATTTATGTCTTTATTATTTAATATTTATACTCGACTTATTTTATACATTTGGACACTACTTCTTGCTCGTTGGCTTGGTGCTAGTACAGATAACCTTTGTTTCATGTATGTTAACCATGAACTCTGTTTGGTTGGTTTATTGTCTCAAAAGTTTTTGTTATCTGCCGGAAAGGTGTATGGAGTCTGCTAAGTATATGTCTGTAACAGATCTTTCCCAAATATCTCGAAAGTAAATAACATGTGGTTGCTAAAGTTAACGCAGTAATAAAAGTAGCGATTACGTAGTGAGCTATAAACTCAAAGTATGTTTGACTATGGCTGTATATTGGACATTCTTGTGAAAAGCCATGTAATCCTTTATATTTTATATTAGTTTTGAAACTCCTACAGTGTCTAGTGTGTGCCCTTTTTAATTTCCATGTAGGTGGCTACCTTTGATCTCGTTATGGATAAATTGCGATTATTGTTTAGTCAGCTTACATCCCTACTCCCATCATCTGACTTCTCCGATCCAGACCCTTGTATTCGACTTCGTGAAGGAGTTGAAGCGTATGTACAAAAGTCTAATGATGAAAACTTACTGTTTGATCTTAATGGCACAGAAGTTCATGAGGCATTTTATTTGTGCTGTCTTAATTTTCTGCACGCTTGTAATGACTTATATGAAAGCAATGCAGCCAACGATAGCGTTGACATCCCTATTTTCAGTGTGTTTCAAGAAAAACAATTGTCTTCATGCCTTCAATTTGTTGTCGCATATGGCGTTTATCCGCTTTTAGAAACCGGAGTTTCATTGCCCTTAAGTATGCGTTTGGAAAATTATGAAAAGTTCATCTGTCCTCGGAAGGAAAAAGATGAAGAAAGAATTGAAAAACTGATGAAGGTAATTGTGAGTAGTTTATGAATGCTTTTACTGGTTGTCGATTCATGCAAAGTACATATAAGCGTAATTGTAAAATGAAAATACAATATCTGACTAGAATAAGCTAATTTCCATCTTTTGTCGCTTTATGCACATATATTTTCGAATCCTAGATTATCACGTAATGATGTTTTTATTTCACCTTGAGAGCCAGTGACTCGTTTTGATTAGTATAGGGAGTCAGCGCCTTCCTATTTTTTTTTGCCTTTCCGTAGTTTAGGTATTATAAGCGTCTTATTTAGGACTACGCTTTAAGGAGATAATATCGTTGAAGCTTGAATTAACCAAGTCATTAGTAAAATGTTCATCACTAAATACAGTGGTTTACTTCTCTCCTAACATCATATATTCAGAATTTCTTACCAACTCGTCATATCATATTTAACCACTGTTAATGTAATGATAATCATATACTAGTAGCTAGAGTTGCAACTACAACTCATGCTCAGCCGTGTAGTCTCGAAATATTAAAAATGTATTAAACGTAGGTTGATCAAGCTATTTGAATACTCATCTAAACAAATACAGTAATTAAAGCATATACCTAATTTTCCAACTTTACTCTCTACATAACAATGGCTTAAGAATTGGTGCATTTGACTTTCAACCAGTTAATTACTAGATCGAACTCCATCCCACCTCCGTCCTAGCTGCTGATTAGTATCACTAGCCTTCACACAAAAGGTTTTGCTCGAAGCTGGGTACACGAATCTGTATTTGATCACATAGTCACATAAGTGACTAAAAACGCATCATACTTAAGTAAAGTAGCACCATCTCATACTATGGCTTGACGAGGTAAAATTAACAAAATGATTGTCAGACGAATCAGAATAATGGATTGATGGCTTAGTGGTTAAGGTGTTCGACTTTTAGCCACTCGGTTCCAGGTTCGAATGTTTCTCCACCTACTAAGGCTTTTGCAGCCGTGTAGTGTCATTAGCGCTCGCAATTGGTTCATTTTTGGAAGTAACTGTATTATGGTTAATTGTGTATATTCAAATAAATGATTTAACTTAGAGCTTCATAAGGTACAATTACTTTTAAAAGCAGGTTAGAGTAGGTTCAATGAAAAAGCACAAATTTATTGATGGCAAAGGAGCTAGTTAAACTTTTGATTTTTAGTTCAAGATTTCTGCAAATAAATTAGAGCAGTTTAGCTAAACCTAACGTCTAGTTTTTGTCGAAAATTGTTATTTGTTCTTATTAGAGCTCTATCTTGATCGAGTATTCTTGTGATAAACCCTTTCTTGACAAGCAAGTTTTTTTTAAAAACTGTAAAAACATTTCTTAACGACGTTTGTGTTCTAAACAGCAGCTCAATGATATAAGTAAGTACTTGGTTGGACAAATGAGTTACATGTGCGTATCTCACACTTTCTGCTTTCATTTACTTAGCTACGTGATTTTTCTAACCTTAGAGTATTGTCAAACATTGTACTCATAAATTCGTACTTGGTAACTAAATTGCACCAACTCGACTTCTACTACGAGTATGTATTATCGTAATGTAATAAATTTACCAGCGCGATACACCAAACTTATTTTCTCGCTTTAAATAACACTATGACACTTTTTTCGAATATCTTTGTCTTCAAACAAAACAACTGTTCGTTACATTTTATATTATTTATTATGTAGATTATCAAGTGTTTGCTTTCCTTGAGAGAGTCTAAATCTTCTCAGTTACAACGATTAGTCAGCACCACTTCATTTCTGGGTGATTTAATTGCAAGTTTATTTCAATCTGCTTTCGGAATGGATTCATATTTACGAAGTAGTGATTTCACTTCGGAAAGAGTTTCTTCGTTAATGGCATACATTCGTGAATCTCGAAAAATTCTTTGGAAACTGTTGCTTGAGCTACCACGTCACATTGCAATGAAAGAATTAATGATTCTTCAAGGTGGTACACAAATTCGTGTTAAGGTTAGTTTATTCCTTAATTGTAATATATACAACTATTGTTTTCCTTTATTCTGATACAGTTTGAACTTATTATTTTCTTCATCATATTTGTTCAACAAAAGTATTAATTCAGGAAATCTGATCGTAAGGAAATTCACTGCATTAAAAGGACAGTTATATAGATGTCAAAGAACAAGAAATAGTAATGAATCAGTGGGAACGGGTCAGGAAAAAGGCAACTATAAGGCAATACCGTGTATAATATTACCTTGCCTTGACTATTTATATAGGACAATAGAATTGTGTTGATGCTGGTCATTTAATATCTAAACAACAACTGCGAACTCTTTTAGCCTTAGTCTTATGATTATTGATTGTGCCCAAGGTGACTTGATGCACTAGTAGATTCTGATGTAACACATCCACTCTTCAGTTTCCAGTTGTTTTATGAAACTTTTATTTCATCTCTTGCATTCAGTTTTAGATTTAGTGATTCGTTACAAAATTCACATCAATTTAATAAAATATGGAAATAATTCAGGTGATCGGACTTGATAACGAGACCTTCGTTAAATAGCTACCGCAAGTTAGGACTGTTTGGCAGCTAACGTAGTATTAAAGCTATCATTTATATACAAAATATTCAACCAAGATTGTATAATTGGTCTACTTGTCGAACAGCGAATAACTATTCTAGAATAAAAATGGTTCCGGCAATGTAGCTAGTGATCATTCATTTTCGCCCATCATGGTACCTCCTTTAGAATTAATATGGGACAATTGTGAGGCTGAAGTTGCAATCCATTATATATTAGGGCACAGTGACGATAATTCTGTCGCTGTCACTATCTTGAGACATGGGCTTCTCCGGTTTGGACATGCGTTAAGGATGTCATTCCACTGGTTTCTACGTCATGCATTGTTTATGGGTGCTAAGACGAAATGGAAAAAGCTGTATATCACTGACACCCGCCGATCTGTCATGATTGTTTGGCTAAAGTTTTAAAAATGATGGCTAGAGACGTTACCAGATATATCTTAGAATAAAAACAATAGCGATTCTTCAGCAGTTTTCTTTTGCATTCCACTAAGTCAACAAATTCTTCTTGGTTGTATTTTTTCATGAACTGTACTTTTTCTTACTACAAACTCTTCTCTCTCATTGATGTGTGGGTGAGAATGATAATGATTGGTTGCTTGCTTAGCCAGACTTGTAGATAGTCTGATAGGCGTTAGATGAGTTATATATTCTCCTATCCTTATTATTATTATTGGTTATTGTTGAATTGTGTCGGATTGCTATCGATTTTCGGTGTGGAAATATATTTATGTTTTAGTCAGGCTAATCACGTGTTCCTGGTCTGAGTTGTGTTGAAGTCCCGTGGAATAGACACTGAGAGGGAATCTAGTGTAGATATTTGTCTAAGACAAATTAACATCCCATTCGTAAAGACGAAGAAAAACCGAGCTTTATAACACTTATTTATTTAATTTTATCGATAACTCCTCATCATTCCTTTATCTCACAATTTCATTTAACTATTTGTATGGAGCATATTTATTTTGATGCCTATTTGCACAAGTGCTTGTTTTTTAAATAATTAAGGATGTAAGTGGACACTTAGTCTCTCAACTATCCACTACCCAGCTCTTGAACTTCTAAACATTTTCTCATTACTTTGATAGTTTTTCCTAATGTTAATTGATGATCGCTTCTGAGTGATTTTTTGCTTAACGTTGTCCCCTGGTATAAATGTTTTGACGCATTACAGTTTACCACTTTTTCAGTAGATAATTTGTTATTGTTTGGTAGCTAAACTGTCGATTAATAAGTAATCTATTGTACATTAACAACAGTTTTTGTTAATCTATTCCTTTGCTGTTCAAATTAAGGGAGCTGTTCAGTTACCCAAAGCACCAATCTGGTTACGTAAATCTTGTGGTCGTTTACTATCCCGTTTGTTGGTCCATCCAGTTGTTATAAATAATACGAACGTTGAAAAATCTGAAAATGCCCACAATTTAGGTGTTAGAAGCTTGTTACTAGCTTCTCTGTCTCTTTGTCCTGGGATATTACCTTCGACTGGTCCGATCACTTCGATTGATCCACGTATTCAACCAAAAATGATTTCAACATTGGCGAATATTTTGACAACAATTCCCGAATTTCTTCATAATTCCTCGGATGATTTGGCCAGTAGATCAAGTTATGAAAAATATTTTTCATTAGTTTCTGTTCAGGTATCTGCCACATTTATGAACGTTGTTTGTATTAATAGGAAAAGAGACGTTAATAAGCACCTATTTTGATCCTTCACTTCTAGTAACTTTTGTAGAGTTTTGTCGGTTACGTATAGTTGTACTTTCAGATACAACTACACTTGATTGCTATCTTTACTCATAATAAGGTAATTATGATAATCCATAAAATGTACTATGCTGCGAACCGTACTCATTGTATAAAAATCAGTGGTGCTGTGATAATATAAGCAAGACTTCGGCCTAAAAAGCAGATCTTAATTCTATGGCAAGCAAGTGGCCTACACAACTGACACCCTTCTATTGTTTGCGATATCTAATCATGTTTATTTCTACGTTATTACTTTAAATATATAATCATGTCTCATTAGAACAGAGATCTGTTCTTGTTAGTAGTTTTGTCTTTGATATCAATTTATTCAGGGTTTTTTTAGTTAGTTACTTTTTCTCTTGAGTATCCATTACTGAGCTAAGTCTTATGATTACATATTATCTGTCGATTAGTATTCTCTTCATTCATTTTAACAGTCTTCATATCTTGCATTCATTTTCGATGAATCATGAAATCATCTGTAACATACTGTCTAAACGTCTTTGCTACATCTGTTTTGAAAATTGAATGCTTAAATTCATGTGCAGTATCGTCAGATTATCATTGCTAACAAAATACATCGACTATTACAGTACTTGGGACTTTTTGAGCATTTTATCTCATCGTGTTCCTCATAGTGGTAATTTACGACTTGGTCAACACAAAGGATGGTTACATGTAACAGTAATTAGTTATATATCTCATGCTCTTTATGAGGTTTTCATCTCACCTACTTTGATTAGGTAGTAGTATGATATGAATTAAGTACTTATTACCATATGCTCTAAATTTCGTTGAACTTTCTCTTAAACACACAGAATATTGTCAGTCGCATGTTCACACACTATGATGTTTATACAGATGGGTTGTATCATCACCAGCACGAAGCCGAGTGTATAAGTTTGTTCTTGGTTAGTGAGTTACAGTAGTGAATAATTAAATTATATGTGAGCTCATTAAGTCGTATTGTATGATAAGAAAGATAACTGATTCTTTCCCTTGTTTTTTTCAATCATTTGTTTTTGTTGGTTTATAAAGTTGTTAGAAATAATCAATGCCAAGAATAATACCACGCCGAATACTCAAACGGATTCATTAGCTGTTGCTCATTTCTTTTATAATGTTGCCATTAAATCGGTTCATGATTTATGCCAGAAATCTTCTGAAATTAATGTTAATGATGATAATATTGGTAAAAAATTATTACTTTGGCCATTGATTGGGTTATTAAGAAAATTTTGTCAGATATCTTCAGTTGTCTCAGAAAAAGAGTTAGTAAAGGATAACTGTAAGTTTTCACATTTTCTGTTCAGTTTCTACATATGTCCTTTTTGTATTGAAGAGATTTATGACACAGCAAAGCAATAGCTGATAAATTTTTAAAAGGCTCTACCTTCTTATTTCAGGTTTCGAGACTTTCGATACTATTGTCTGAATAGATTTATGTTTAACCGCCACTTAAATGGTTAACAAATTATAGAAGAATTTCAAATGATAAATAGAGACTGTAATATTAGCATGATTTTGATCTTTTGTGGGGAAGTTATGTAAGAAAATCCCTAACTTGACAAATGCGTATCTCCTATTATTATAGTACCATAATTAGCGATTTACTACAAAATAATAATATGGACTAAAAGTCGTGTTGTATCGTTCTGATTTTTACACCAACAAATAAGCTTTAATCTTTTGTTGAGTAAAATAATACCCTACACTTGTTACTGACGGTCTAATTATGAAGGAATCTATGAGCTGTAAATGCCCCTGGAAATTACATGAATTAAGACAGGTTTCGAACTGTCATATGCAATAAAATCATACTAGTTGAAGAAGTGAATCAATCAGCTGACATACTAGTTAGCTGGAAATAAGCTAAATTTGGATAGGTCAAGGGATCAAACTTTTGGTTTAAACCATGTTGAAATGTAAAGAGTTCATCGTTAGGGTCCGTACAATAGTCGTAGCCTGTTGTTATAAAAACTGAATCATATGGTACATTTCCGATTATGGTAGCGCAGTTGCATCCATTTTCTATCCTTCTCTGTGTTGTGCTCTTCTGTTGTTTAGTATTTTCTGGCCTCGATACTGAAATTTTCCCAAATGAGCACAAGAATTCGGAGTTAACAATATATATTCCCAACCAGAATTCCCATAAAAGACCTTTAGTATCTTTTTGATTACTTCACCTGTGCTGGTTGGGTGAGTTAAAATTAGTTTGTTTTAGGTCTTACGTTGACTATAACTAACTGAATGACTGTATTTGCAAAGATAATCAGTTATTCGCTTGGTTTGAATAGTCATGAGTCTTTAATGATTGTACTTGATATTAATAAATACAGTTGAAAAAAGGACTTGAATTGTCAGTAAATATATCATGAATTATTTATTCACCTCTGATTTAGTGTTATTTCATATTTGTACCTTACAACTCTTTGCTCATGTAGTAAAATATTATTGTATCAGACTTAGTTTTAGTTTGCAGCGATCAGTAAATCTCCGCGAATATTTAACTGAAAATGGCGTATTTCTGTTACTTATCACAAAGAATTAGATTTTTAAGTTGCTTCGGTATTGACATTTAAAATATTAATGATTGCTACACATAGTATACTTCTTTTTGTTTTCGTTTCAATTCAGTTCTTGGAAAAAACCTTGCTGACTGCACACTCAAGTAGATTGCTAGTGTTGTTGCATTTATTTACTTTGGTGAATGATTATGAGACAGAATATAGTTATTGAAACAAATCTGCTATCGCATATTCTTACTTATTTGTTAAGTTTACTTCTGCAATCATTTTTTTACGGAAAAAGCGAAATAGCAATAGGAATTTCTCGTTGTAATTAACTAAAAAATGAGATATAATCTGGTTTGTAAACGTTCACTTAAAAATATCTAGTATAAAGCGAATCTATTTTTATTTAAAAATGATTTTCAGTGGGATGATGGTTATTTTATATCAAGAGCCAGGTACTAGGAAACTTCTTTGTCCTGGTCTACCACTAATCAGTACTATTCATTGATGTTTACTTGAAATCAAACTGAAGGCCTTTATATCTTGTTAAATTAAGATATTTCTATTCTTTTAGTCATAGAAGTAGAAATCAGAAGTTAATGTCTCCATATCTTAACCATTATATACTATTCAGGCTGGATGTTTCATTGGTCGTTTTGTATTCAAAAGTGTCGAGTGATTTTGTTTATTTATTTCTGAATAAGCAATTAATCATTAGGTTTATTTTATGGAAAATCTGAAATTTTTTGAGTTGTCTAGGTTGAGCGTTGAAGAAGTCGAGTTTTAACCACTGGATCGAGTTTCGAAGCCCACTCCACCTACCTTAGTTTTAGGCAGGGTAGTAGTTTCACTCACCCACCGTCTGACGGTCATATACAAAGATATTTTCTTGTTTAATGAGTTAATTTTAGTTTGTTTTGATATAAGGTTTTGCATATATGCGTAAAATTAATTCCTTTCGAGTAAAATTAAATTATCAGATTATCTTTGTCGATTTGATAGTGATGCATATATCTACAGTTTAACTCAAATGTGACCATTCATGATTTCCTCAGTAATTGAGAGCTGAATACACTGAATTCGTTTTTCACCCTATAAATACGTATCATGTAAAGTATTTTATCCTCTTGTTGGGAGTATTTTAGTAAACTAAGCTGCTTTACATTCACTTTTTTGTTTATTTTTAAGTAATAATACTTTTTTCTCTTTTCTAAAAAACCAATACAATGTGCTCACCTCTATCAGCCTTGGCATTTGATTTTACCACGAAATGTCAACTTGCCTCACATCATGATCTAGCTCGGCTACTAGAAATTATAAAAGATGTAAGTAAATAATATTATTAACTTGTATTTGTTTTGTCATCTATTATTCACAATTGGTTATGATTTATAAATTAGACTATTTAATTATTATATTATCAATGTTAAATAATGGAACAAAATGATCATCCAGTGTTCGTCTCATTTGGACAGGTTCGTGATTTCGATGAAATTCAACAATCTTCACTACCCTATACTGACAATAATTAGAATAACCAGCTAATTAATAGAATAATATATTAATCGAAATAATTTTCAAAAACATTTTATAATTTATTATGAATTGTTTTATTTATTTATTTATTTAAACACAAACATTGTTACAAGGAGCCACCAAATATATGTACACCACACTTCGTTATTTAATTTGTGTGAGGACTGGAGTACTGCCCGGATACCCAAACTGAAGCAGGTGGTTTTATTAGGGGGCCACACCCCAAGCCTCTGACCTAGAAGCCTAATCCACAAAGCAGTGGATCAATGTTGAGAGATGCAGTTCTATGGTAGCCGGTGACCAACAATAGGTTCACACGCCATTTGTTCCCTCAGGATCCTGGGACGCATGTGCACCGTGGGTTTGGAATCAGGGTTTTACAACTTTCCTATGTGGATCCTCCGTACCCACCAACCGGGTTAAGGCGCCGGACATTCTGTTTTCGTGTTGTCAATTTCGTAAACAACACCCGTGCTGCGAGAAGGTAGTGAGTAGGGCAACCCTCGCAGTGGCTGTTTGAGAGGTAGTGCGGACTCTCCCCACCCTTGGCCATACCAGGGCATTAGGGGGCTCATGAATTAAGCTACCTCCAAAATAAAATTCAGTTGTCAGATATTTCAATATAAATGCCAATGGTTATTTAAATTTTTCAATTACATCAGATAAACTATCTAAGATTATTAAGGTAGACAAGATAGTTTTGGGATATTTCTTAGTTTTATTGATTTCTTTTTTCTAATCGTTGTAAACCGTTTCAACATAGGTCAGTGCACTGTCATATGTGAGTTTGTGTTGTTGTATTCGGGAAACAGTTCTGGATAACAGACAATAATAATGATTTTTGCATACATAAATATTACTCAGTTTGATGTTTACAGTTTATAAATGTATTTTTTGATAGCTTTTTAGAAGGTAGAATTTAGATGATTTGGTCAGAATTATATTCATGATAACTTATTATCATTTCATATCTGTCAGTTAGCAAACAATTTTCTATAGCTTGAAACTCAGTAATAATAGACTTTATGGATTGGTGCCATATTTTCCTTTAACAGTTTTAGTATTAAGGATTAGAAATTAAATGTATCAGACTGCAGTGTATATATTTCTTATACTGTAAGTAATGTAACCTTTAATCAATAATCTTCGCATGAAATTGATTTAAAAATTATAAGTAAACTGATTTCTGAGTCATATCTTTGAATGCGCTCTCCAACTATTTTGATTTTAAGAAGTTAATGAAGCTACCATCCATCATATGAGGCTGCATCCGAAAGTCCCTGGGTATAAACACTTGTACACTTGGTAAATGCTGACTAGTGTTGGGGATGGGTGGAAGAAAGTTAGGGGCGGACAAACCAAAACATAGAATCAGTCCTTGAAGTTACTAACTTCTAGTCTGAGCCATGTTGGTAGATGCAGACTACCTGGTTGTGGTCGGTGCGGTTATCGTAACCAATGGTTGAAGACTCTGTGTGAAATGATTGAGAATCGATCACGATGGCGTAGGTGTATACACTCTTGTTCTCACTTAAACCGTGAGATTAAAACCATTTTATGTATTTCTTTCTACGGCGTTAATTCTTTCTCCCTGTATCATATCCTTATATGAAGTGTTGATTTTTTACTGCCATTGAGGTAACTGTGCATATTAACTTGGTGTTGATTTTGTTGTGCTAATGAGGTGTGGTAACTTGGACCGATGCATATATGTGCTTGGTCTTACGTTGTAGCTGACTGACTTAGTAAATGAGTATGATTTTTTCTGACTAAATAAAAAGTGTATGTACTACAATCTTTCAGGTCTGTGAGGATTGCTGTTGAATAAAAGTATTTTGTGACATTCCTACATCTAACCAAAAGTTATATATATATATATATATATATATATATATATATATATATATATATATTGAATAACCCATCCTTATTGTGTAACGTCTATGTTGTCTTTGGATCACCATACATACTGATGTACTCTATCTCTTGAGTTGTGGAAGAAAACTCGGCTCTCAGCATCCATCACTCGTCTGATGTATTTTTCGTAACAGGAAGCACTTTGAAACCGCGAACATAGAATACATAATCAATATTGTTTATTCTAATTTTAACTTTGAATCCTTCTGTAGAATTATGACATATATATATATATATATATATATATATATATATATATATATATATATATATATATGATTTTTGGTTGTAGAGGTAGGATTATGACAAAAAAATATTTAACTTCATTTTGATAAGAGGTATATGTTTTTATGTCCCAATGAACAGAAAATTGTACTTTGACGTTTCATGATTCAATGTCCATGACTTTTCCAAAATTTTCTTCTCGCCATTTGAACTTTTGTTAATCTTATTTCGGTTACTTATTTACTCTGAAGATGTTGCTTACATTAAGTCACGAAACTATCAATTTCAATTTTATCATTGATACCTACCAACTTTATTTTGATTTTTTTCTCAATTTATTAAACTGTTAGCTGTTGGATTGTCCTGAGCCATCTCAAATTGTTATAACAGAATTAGGTAAATTGTCTAGACCATTATTTATATTGTTTGCACAAACAATTGAAGATGAAGATAACGTTAATGATTCAGAAAGCTTTACTTCACTCAAGTTAGTTGATTATCTTAGCTTGCTTCATTTTGTATATTGTGAACTTTCCCGTCGACTTTAAAACCTTTGTGCTCACTAAGTTCTATTTTTTATGCAGCTTTCTTGTTTGTACATTTTCGAAATTGGTATAAATAATATTCGATACATCAAAGAGATGTTAACTTCTGTAAATTAAACAACTCAAAAGTATCTATCTAATATTCTACTCACATGATTATAGTTTGAATGAAGAATGACTTTTGTCGAAATTTATCAGTGTTAATTTAAACAACCACCCGTATCTACTCAAAAATATTAATTTATAATTTCAATGAGCACTTAAGTGTGACGGTTACAAATGGAAGAGCATGTTGCATTTCGGAAATATGCACTAAAAAGCTGATAATGGCAATCCTATTCTTAGCTGAATCTATTGTTGGATAGTACTAACTTCAAACATAAAGACAGTGATTGTGTCAATGTAGTGGGTGCTGATGTCAATTCCATAACGAATGAATAGATTATACGTATGTTATATATCATTGTACTAACAATCAAAATATCTTGGCCCAGAGCTTCCTGTCGATTAACTTTCACTATCCGATACGTATAGTGGACCGTATTTTTCAGTCACATATCTTCTTTTCGGGGCTGTAAATCTACGTGGCAGGATTCAACAGTCTCTAAGGTCTAGGCAATGTGACCTTGTTCACTTATCATTGATTGAATAATGTAAAAAGCTGGTTACCGTATTGTAGTATCTAATGCCATTTAATTTTGTTATGATAATATCAACTAGATACGATTATTATTTTAATTGTACACCTGATAAAAAATGTGGACAACTAGTTTATTTGCAAAAAAAATGTCTAAAAGTAGACATAAGTAAACTATTCTAGGTTTTTAGTTGGGTTTATGTAAGGCATAACATATCACCATCGGTTATCTTTTAGTCACTGAGTTAAACTTCATTGTTTGACCATAAGGTTAAACTAACATCTTTATACCAGTTGTTTATTTGTGCGGCTTTAGACATATCAGTTAGTATCGATAATAAGTGACTATATTTTCTTAGAACTGAGTAAATAAACAGCTACAAATCAATCGTTTTTTCTTTCATTCCTACACTTCATCTAATACAGATAGTTTCATCATTTGGCTTTGTTTTATGAAACCACCTCTAAATCATCACTGGACTGTACTACTTCCTTTATGTAATCAAGAGTTTGAAATTCCTGCATATTATATTACAATATTATTACGAAACTGAAATTAAATTTTTACCATTAACCAAGTTACTATACTTTTCGTTTTTAGAGAATGCTTAATCTGGATTCTTACTCGTCTGTTATCTTCTGATTTGAATTCCCGTTTCAATCGTTTGTCATTAATACGTAGTTGGTTTAATCTACCTGCTCCATCCTTGAAATTTATGCCATCAGAACTACAACATGAAGTGTCAATTATGAGTAGCACTACTGATTGGCTTTCAGCTTATTCATGTCAAGAAAATCTAATGTTTAGATTATTATCCAAAGTTCAGCCTATGGAATCTTCATCCACATCTCTAGATGAAATTACAATGAGAAAACATAATTCAGTCTATGTACCATATACTTGTGTCATAATAAACGAGAAATTACCTACTGTTAATGGGATACAGAATTTCTCTTCCAGTATCAAAAGTCTTGTCACATTGCTATTTTTTATGAGTCCATCTTCATTTCAAAATAATTCTTCTAATAAACAAGTTGGACATCATTTGCATATTCTGATAGATGAAAAACAAAGTGAGAAAAATCAAATTAATGAGATCACTACTCATGCAGATCTTTTTCTGAGTTTATTGACAGTAAGTTCTACTGAATATTGTTTAATTTATTATAAAACACACTTTCAGCATCACTCTATTAAAAAGTAAAACTCAACTTTTTAATAAACGGAATACACCCATCAAGACATTGAATAAGAAAGATTAGTTCAGCGAAGAGTTCACTTTTCGGTGAATTCATTTTCAAAGCTATACAATCGCAAATATATATACTTATTTTTACAGGATGATAACAAGTTTATTATCAGTATTATTATCATCCTGTAAAAATAAGTATATATATTTGCGATTGTACATCTTTGAAAATAAATTCACCGAAAAGTGAACTCTTCGCTGAACTAATCTTTCTTATTTAAAACTCAATTGACATCCAATGATCTGGTAGCCGTACATTCATAATTCAAATGTTCCAAAAATATCACCTTCAAATAAATTAATGTTACTTTTGATTCTCTGTTGCAATAACCGAACACTAACTTTAGTGTGTAAACGATTCTAGCAGAATCTGACAATATTCGGAATAACACACGTACACAATACAAAGAGAAAGACTGATCTTTTGTAAAAGGGCATTCATTGTCTCTACAAAAGGCAAGATTATTGTTAAAAATCAAGTCAGTATTTTTTTGTGCTGGTACTTGGTTGGAAACGTTTGGTCAGTTTTGTCTTTTCTGTGTTTGACCATGGAAACTTAGAACTTCTCACTGGGACTGTATAATGGTAGATGCTTTTGTGTGACAATTAAATTTAGTTATCTTCACGTTATCATGCTATATAATGCTGGAGAAAGTAACGCTACACTTGTCTGGCCGTTCTTCTTATCTAGATGTCCTACGTAGTCAATTAAATCTGTGGGTATTTACGAAAGTTTTCGGTTTCCACAACTTTATCTTTGTTTCTATTAGCATCATGCAATTGATTGTATGAATGACACGAAATTTGGCGGCAACAAATACCGTATCTACTATCTTAGGCTCTTCTATTACGATCCAACCGCCATATATTCCAGTATTAGTAGTAAACGCCTTCTGGAAGCGGATTTCCTCGTCCTTTAAAAATTCCCATCATATCGTTTTCAATAAATTCTATTCAGGTTCTACAATTATATATCCAAATTAATAGTCCCAAGAGTGGCAAGCTTTTAGGCGATTATAGTGTGTGACTCTAGGATTGTAAAATAGAATAAAATCGTTAATTGCATTGAAATCACGAATCGATCAATGTTAGACCATCGTTTAGTTAAACCTTGTTAGATGTGAGGTAGTTACCCACCGAAAACAATAAAAAATGGTCGCACGATATTGTGGATTAGTTGAAGTTAGATATTAACACCGTTAGACGCCAGCTCAGTAGCCTAGAGGTTAAGCGTTCCCACTCGAGACAGAGGGTTCAGGGTTGGAGTTCCGTGTGCGGGACCGTGGATGCTCACTGCCGAGGTGTCCCATACTGCGACCAAACGGCTGTTCATTGCTTCAATCATGTCTGTTTATTTGTCTTTATATTTCGCCATTGAATCTGAAGTTTACGTTCATAGTACATTTTGGTAATAATTCATTAATGATATTCACAGGGGTTGTAGCCTCTATTTCCTGTTCTCTAAGTTGTTTACTGGACAGCAGTTCGCTTCGTTCTACTTTATGGATGTGAAACATGGTCATTATGAATAGAGGATATTCGTAGGTTACTGGTATTCAGCCATAGGTGTTTACGAATTATTGTTCGTTTACTTCGGGATCACAAGTAAGTAATACCTGGGTTAGGAATAGGGTACTAGGTGAAGATGGGAAATAGATTGGCGAGGTAATAAATCTTCATCAGCTGAAGTGGTTTGGACATGTGTTACGTATACCCAACCACCGCCTACCTCGAAAGAATATTTCTTGGTTCAGGAGTAAGCCGAAAGAAAGTTAGGGGCGTCCAAATCAAAACATGGCATCAACCCATGAGGTCGCTGACAATTCGACTGAGCTATGTTGATGGGCTACCTGGTTGGGGTCTGCGTGATTGTCGTAATTACTGGTTTGAAGGTTTGAATGACATGGCTCGAAATCGTATGCGTTAGCTCAGGTGCATCTATTATTTGTCTTCTCGAATCCTGAGATTCTAAATTCCTCATAACTTTTTTGTTTTTATACCACGAATTTGTATTTTCTTTTCAAATCATATCATTGATGACTAATCTTTCCAATTACCACTGACATTTATTGCCTCTACTATTCTGGGATTTGTAATGACAACTTCATCTCTCTGTGATTATCGGGCATGACAACTTGAACCGATGTACATACATACCAGGTGTTCGACGTTGTAATTGGCTCACTCACTACGAATAGTAGTTTATCTGTAACATGAATAAGAAGCTCAATATTTCTGATAATCGAGACCACATCATTTGTTGCCAACATATAAGGTATCAATTCCCTTGTGCTTACAAGTCTATTGGCTTTCTAATTTGTGTATCTAGCTGATGATGTAATAGTAGTAGTCTTTTGGCTTAATATGATTTATTCTAACTTCATCAGATTGGTCTCCATATTCAGTCGAAATTTTGCATTAAGAGGTGAGCTAAGCCATATTTCGCTAACTGTTATTAATGTTTTGTTGAATTATCTACTTAATTTTATGCTTTAGGATTTACATTTCACTTTCCAAGCCATTTTTGAATCAATGAATGAAGCTCTTATACCGCAGAATGAAAAAGACATTATTGAGATTGGAACTGTTTCTTCATTAATTACTTCTGCTATGATTGAAAGTTTAGATGATTTAATTTGGCCTCAAGATATCAATCAAGCTTGTAATTTATTTGAGGTAATTTGAAGTGTTTAATAATATATTTCTTTTAAACTTTATTTGTAAAAGAACAGTTTTAGGTATATTATTACAGAGTATATTAAGAGAATCTGATAAATTATCTGAATATTCTTCTTTGGTTTAATCTCTCAAATACCTATCACATTTTATTTTATTTTGTCCACTTTTAAACATCATAGAAAGTGATTAATTACATAGAAATTAAATCTAATTTACCTTCTACTGCATAGAAATTTGCCAATTAGTAACTAAAACTCCAGCCTTATTGATTGTATTTTGTAGTCTCTTTCAATGTAATAATGGGACTGTCTATCTGTATAGGATGTATTATTTATTATTATCAACCTGTAGTTTGGTGGTAACAACTTAAAATTAATATTGATGACAGGTCTAATAACTTGTATTATTATAAAATCTAAACAAACGTCTTTATTTCCACACCTGTTTTTTTCATTCAATCTGTTTGTAATGGATAGTTATTTATCGTAGACAGTTTATTTATTTGAACACAAAGATTGGTACAAGGAGGCGCCAAATATAAATGCACCACACAATAACAAGAAGGTTGTAAAGAGATAAAAAGTGTAAAGTGCGTATAATAAAAAAGAACAACAATTAACAGAAATTAGTGTATGAGAATGAAACAGTTCAGTTAGCAAAAATACAACCAGAGAGAATTGTTTCATCAAAGAAATTACGTTCACTTTTATGACGAATGTTACAGCAGGATCACCACTTGCTTCTATTCTGGGTCATGTCTGATAACGTCTCTAGCCATTGTGTTGTACCACCTCTACGACCCCAACCATAGAGTTGTGAATGACCAACAAAGGCCATTCGTGTATAGCTTTCATACCACGACATCATGTCATACATTGACCACATTTCCGCTTTTCGCGACCTGTCCCGACATCGGTTAATAATGCACGACATGGGATTTTCCGGAGCGACATTCGTAAGACATGTCTAAGCCACTGAAGTTGGGGTTTCAATATGGTGGCACCAGTTGAATTATCATCACTGTGTCTGAGCGCACGTTCTGGACTCTCTACATTACGAACATATTGTTGGCAATCCTTCGGAGGCGATAGTGATTAAATTCAGAGAACCGTTTAATATCCTCAACTCGAAGAGGTAATGTTTCACAAGCATAGAGTAAAACTGCTCTCACCGACGCGTTTTAGATCCGGTCTTTTGCAGCTAAACTAATATCACGAAGGTACCAAAGATGGCCTCGGTCGTCATAAGCCGCTCTGGCTTTCATTATACGTTAATTGATGTCATCACTCACTCCACCACCAGCACTTGTGCAGCTACCCAGAGTTCAGATCCAGGGTCCCGCTAGTCTTGTAAAAGTTCTTTGCACTTGGAAGGTGCAAAGCACGTGCCGTACCTACGGACACTGACTACCAACTGATTAAGTGCGGATTGCATGGCTTGGTGTTATAACTTGTCGTTTGAATACTTATTGTCTTGGCTCTTTTAATGCTATTTTTGTATCTGGTCGTCGCTGATTGTTATGTCGGAAACGCTTATCACTCATACTCGGAACGAGGTACTTCTGCAATTCCCGCGACGCGAAAGTAAGAACACAAAGACTGGCATAAGTGATGATTTATTAACCCCAAAACACTGACGACGACGACTCTAGTAGAAAACACACTCATTTAGATATTGATTGTAGACCCATTTTGATTAATAATTAGAATATAATCACATATGAAAAATACTTAGAGTTATAACAAATCACATACTGAGTATAGTTCATGTCAATGGGATACAAGAATATCGCATATTATACAGAATAAAATATCATACGAGAAAAGAAAACAAATACTACATTGAGTAATCATTACATTGAATCAAACGGAAGTAACCTTGAACAAAATTCATAATGAGTAAATCAATCGAAAATTGACTTTTCTTTCCATCATATCACTTAGATATCATAGCGCAGTTGGACAGTGTCATCCACATACTCAAGGTCGAGCAGTTTTTCTCCAGGCAACGGATTCACGCCACCATTACTACATCCATTCCAGAACGTCGTTCAACTAATTGTGAAGAGAAGGTACATGAACATTGTTATATCCCGATAAGCATAATGAATGGTAACTTTTGGGATCCATTTATGGGCCAATACTATGCGTATACCTTTATCGTATAATTGTTAAATAAATAAGCTGTTCATATTCATGTCTCTCTTATTATGAGCTTTATATTGACCTATGAACTATTATTATGCGATTTACCATTCTTGAATTATGCCCTGTCTATTAATTACTACCTCCCACATTTGGCCAAATCTTGTCCTATTTTATGGTACGGTGTTGTCTGTTTGATTGGTATATAAACCCAGTATGCTTGAAATAAATGATTCATATTGCCGAGGCTGAGATTGGTGTTCTGGACTTAACTGGTTGGGCTAGACACGAAGCAGGACCAATCAGGACTCTAGACTGCTCGTACGGGATTTATGCGTCACTGGTCCGATCGATAAGTCACTGCTCTCTAATTGGCAGTATCATTACGTATACATTCGCATGGCACACAAGTTATAACAAACATATACGGTTTGATCCTTCTCTCAGTTATGTAATCACCCAGTAATTATAATTCTTTTGAATAATTATTACACGGAAACTAGATTGTGTTACAATCAGTTTACTGATATGGAAGTTTTATAATTATTATTTCATGTAAACGCCTTCGGTATTTATTTGTTTTTCTTTTGTGTTCATATATTTTAGGCATTGTTCCATCGTTTCTGTTGTTTACTTCAACATGCTGAAAATCATGAACATGTGGAGTTTTTATATCAAATGTTAAGTCAATTGCTAGGGATCTTAGCCTTTTATGCTAATAAACTTGGGGTAAGTATTTCTGTTATTTAGATTTTATGCTCGTATTAAGTCTATTACACACAGTTCATATGGCAATAAATTTTTCCGCCTGATTTTTATGATTAATCACTTTGACGTGCAATGTTCACTCTTCTTGTACACAGCCCCAACCGGCTTTTCAAGAAAAAAGACGGGGGATCAGAAAGGAAGTCTTTTGGCTAAACTAAATTATTTGCGTGATCATATATATATATATATATATATATATATATATATATATATATATACCTCTTCTGTTATATCCTAGTGAAGATTAAATTACGGGTAACTTCTGAGAACTCTTACTGGACTAATATTATATATATTCCAATTGTGTAACTGTTCAGTAACTAGATTGTATATATCTATATTCCTTTTATTATAAGCTTTATTTTGACATATAGGCTATTATTATACGATTTACTGTTCTTGAGTTATGCCAAGTCTATTAATTACAGTGTTCCATAATCACAGCCACTTTTTGGCTTGATCTTGTACAAATGTTATTTCTTATTTTATGGTGTGATGTGGTCTGTTTGGCTGGTATATAAACCAAGTATGTTTGAAATAAATGATTCGCTTAGTGGAAGCTGGTGTTGTGGATTTAACTGGAATGGCTGGGAAGACAGGGTACCAATAAAGATGCTATGCCATTCATACCGATCGAACGTCAATTGTTTGGTACAGTGTTAAGATTGTATAAGTCGTATTTTGGTTGGTGAATAAATCACGTGATATTTAATAGGCCTCAAGCCACACCTTCGGAAACTGAGCCACCAATAATTTATACCTCATCCTTTAGAAATGAAAGCCATTTGATGACCAATTACATGCACTTATCATCCATGTTGTAAACTTCACTTAAATATGCTTACACATTTCAGCTCGTTTTTCTAATTACAGATCTATATACTTGTTTTTGAGTCATACTGTATGAAGCTTAGTGATAATATACAAATCTCTGTACTGAATAAAACTGGTTTTATTTCAAAACTATCATTCGTTGATTGAAAATTGAGTTCTTTAACGACATTCACAGCTGCATTTGAATATCCTTATAAATCTCAATTAAAATGAAAAGTGTTGTTAAATATCACCCATATACATGAATTACTTATTCTTAAGGTATTCCATGTAGTAATTCAGAGATATCGTACTTCAATAAACTAATAATCGTGGTAAATATTCAGAGAACTATTTACGTAATATCGATTACCTTAATAACTGTACTTTTTCTATGATATATATTTATGTTGTTAAATTCTTATCGCTAATATTTTAATTCGATATTTTGCACACCTTTGTTTATTGACTTCAGAAATTTTTAATTTCTTGTATATGCTTTTTAAACATAGTCTACTAGAGATAATGAAATAATAACTGCTCGAGATGAATTCAGTCGTTTATTGCCAATTTTAAATAAGTTGGAACTTGTTATCAACTCTATATCACACTCAATGGGCAATTCAGCTTTAAATCTTCTAAAATGCATTAAAGTTACATTAGCCACACGTGGAGCTATTCCTTGTCATGATTCTTTTTCAACTACGTCTGTAAATAATTTGTATTTTACCAAGTGAGTTTCAGTATTCTAATAGAATCACTATTAAGAACCTGTTTAAAGTCATATTGATAGGCTTTCCGTCCAAATTTCAGTTATTGGAAGAACTTTACGATTGTATTCATTATAAGTTGTAGCGAAAAATGATATTTACTTATTTATTTAGATGATTTCTCAAATTTATTACTTACATGACAGTTTCACACTTCAGTCTCACTTCCCAACGATAATGATGAAATCTTGATTGTTCTATTCTAATTAAAATTACCTCTTGAGATGTTCCGTTTTTGGAAACAATAATGATTGGTCTTTATATGGACTGAAATATTTATAAAACATAGATTGTGTTACAGTGATGTGTTTATCTTCAGTCAGGGAATTTGGTTCCGATGTTGTAACTTGATTCTTGATACGCGATTGGTGATGTTAAGGAGGTGGTGAACATCCGCGATTATCCTTCAACACCATGTCACTGATGCTTTTAACTCAACTTTCAACTATTAAGGAAAAAAAGCATAGGTTAGAAAGAATAGATTTTTTTGAAAAAAATTTTTTATATACATATACCCTTTTCAGTGATTATTTATTATATTTAAATAACTATGACCTAAGTCCAGGAAAGATTACGTTAGAGAGTTTTGGTCGGCAGCCTATGCTCCACGAGGGGTAACTGGTGTAAGTAATTATGAACTTAACAAATCTTATTCTGTACACATTAAAACTGAGTGAAATTATTGTCAGAATATCATGAAATATTTGATAACAGAATTTTTACCGAATTCAATCAAATGTCTAAGTGAGTGATTATCATACTGGATCAATCAATAGTCTTACTCTTGATTGACTTTCTAATAATGTAAGGTGTAAAATCAAATGATATTTCTTAATCCATGAATAAGGTTGTACTATCGTCTTATTCTTTGTATTCTAGTAAAGATAATAAAATATTACACTTGTAATACTCCAGTGCTGGAGATCCCCACATGTTTTATGAACCAGTTAAACTGTGGGCATAATGACAAGAAAGAATTTTAATGGTTGGTTATTGTCACTTCCAAATTATGGGTTAAATGTCATGAAAATTTTTATGAACCTCTTTTTCATACTTGATGGCAGTAGAATGTAGTATTAACTGGTTTAATTTAACTTGGTAGCTTTATTTCTTCCAGTGTGCACACGTATGTCTACTTGAAGATAAGCTTTGTTTAGTGTCAGGTGTTAGTGAAAACGAGCCTCGTATTTGTCAGTGATGTTTAGTTCATTAAAGCTTATTTTATTGAAATGCATATTTAGGTTCTAAATAATGGCTTTTGGCTTCAAAGGCTATTAAGTTTGTATAATACATGGAAGCAATCGAACACAGCCGAATTTGATTAAACTGAAAATCTTCTCTTACGTAGTAAATCCATGGCGCTTCTATATAATTACCACTGTGTATTCGAAAAGACAACTATGCAATTTTATCTACTGTGGAACTTTGATAGTTATCAAGTTTCTGTTGTCTTGGGATAAGAATTGTTGGTAACTTAAATGTTCTCATTTGATTGGTCACTTAGTCTCACAACTGAATTTAGTCATGTGCTGCCTTAATAAAATCAGTAAGATTTTTAAAAGTTTTAGTTAAAAGTTTACTGTAAAACATTGAATTTTTTTATTCACCTTAGATGTAATTTTGACAAAGTAAAAGCTGAAACCCATCAATCAGAATGTCCTCAAAAAATTATCGAAGAAGTTACTATCTCCAACCCCCAGAATGTGCAGCAATCTGTTTGCAGTCAGCTAGAGGATCCAACTTTGAAAAAGATTTTCGAAGAATTACATGATCCTTTGATTCCTGTCCAAGGTCATGCATTGATTGTGCTTAGTCGATTGTTGGAATCCAGAGATTCATGTATTTGGGGCTATGAACAACTCATATTTGAAGTGAGTTTCTTTAAACTTCATCTTTATCGTTTGATGTAGCTACACTAACCATTTATACAAAGTCCTCGGGTGAAATAATGAGCTTTCAGGTGATACAATCTTTTGAAACGAAAGTGGTTTTCTGAAATCCTGAATTCAAATTCTGAAGACCCTTATCACTTTAAGACAAAATGATGATTTTGAATTTCATTACTATGTCACGTTATTCTAGAAATTCTATCGATAAATCATGTCGTAATCTTTCGGTTTGTATGGAGCATCTTTTCTACAGTTATTTTAAATTTGGTTCGATTTACCAACTCTGAACCACATTAGTTTTGTGGGGTTCGATAGTGCTTGTTGTACCTTCAAGACGAACATGTTCTTGGATTGTAGTGTTTACCTGTATAATTACGCCATTTGTTATGGGAGCTGTTGTATTGCTCAGTCAGACTATCGATTTATTCGCCCATATTTCCCTTAAGATTAGTAACCTTTGTGTCTAATAACACAACAAACTTCTCTTAACCAATGGCTCAGTTATCGTAAACAGTTACAGTGTAATGAATGAAGTTCTGAGTAGCAAGCTGATTTATTGTATTATGCGAAATCACACACTGCATTTGTGAAATATGAAAACAATACACTAAATATATTATTTGCCGATCTTCCGCGAGTTGTCCCTTACAAACTCCGTTGTTTTTTCATTCCTGTTTTTATTTCGATTACTCCCTGGTTTCCTTTCTCTTCAGTTTCCTCTTCTATCCGTTAGCAGTCTACTCTCAATGACTAATAAATACTGCTTATATCTGTCCGTACACGTAGTACACACCGCCATGTGCACCTTGTGATCGGAAGACGAAGACAGCAAGTCGATGGATCCTTTACTGTACTTTATTCATCTATCAGTCAAAACTGATACAATAATCTACCTCAGCTACCTGAGTGCACAGCAAAGGAAACAAGAAATTACAGTATATATGCAACTCAGTCATGAGTGATACTAAAACTAAGCAAATATCTAGAGTATTAGGATGAAAGCTTACAGTACGAAAATACAAAAATACAACGATCCGAGCGGCTCACAATTACGCAGTGAAGATATAAATAATATTTTTCCTTAGGCTAGTTCTGACAGTTCGACCCTTCTCAAATCCTCTTTGATGAAACTGTACTACTCAAGTATCTGAACCTAATTAAATGGAGGAGGACTCTAATCCGTTAGTTGCAAATCGAGTGGTTTTAATAACTCAACCTCGGCATTTATTATTGCGTTCCTTTAAAACTATCTGTCCAATTTTAAATCTCCCTCTTGTTTGTGCACTCACACATATGTGTGTATACACATACTACTAAAACTTTACTATTTTCAATTTATCATGTTAGACTTGGTAATAAACTGATTTAGTTATTTGTGATTTTTAGCACCGTTTAGTGTACTGCTGTTGATTACAAGATTATAAATTATTCCAATTGCTCTAAATAACTAAATAAAACAGGATCAAACAGTTAACTCAATTGTTCTTGCAATAAATTTTATGTTATTTCGTAAATAAACTCAGTTACGCACTAACATTCGGTTTTTAAGTCACAACTAAGTGGTCTGTATCTCTTTTCTTTACCTATAATAATTAGAGAGGTGTTTACTGATTAGATCAGATTTCATTAAATTATCATTAAGTCTATAGCCTTTGGTATTGTAATCACCAAGGTAATTCGATCAGAGCCCTTTTTGGTTGTTAAAGTCATTCAGCTTGAAGCTAACCAACGATGAGAACTTCTTGATCATCATAAAAAATATGAATAATGACGTACAATCCTTACATTTGATTTTTGTTTGCTTGATGTGATTCCCAATTTTCTACCGTTTATTTTTTTCAAATATTTTGTTAATCTAGGTTTTAACTAAATATTTGTCACATACAGATAGTTATATTTATTTGAATGCGATTCGATGCCTATCGGCTATGGGCTGTACATTAACGGACAAAGTATTAAATCTACTGTTAAATCAATTCACTAAGAGTGTGCAGACTACCAATAAACCAGCAAATCCTATTGGTATCACTGTCACTAGTACTGCTGGCGATTATGATATTGAATATAAATTGAAATTAGCTGAATCTATAATGCGTGTTTTGTCGAATTTAGGTAATCTTTTTATTGTTATTTACGAAAATAATTCATTATAAATTATAGGTTAATTGTTTTGTTTTTCTTTGAATAAATTTAACTTTGTTTATGTGTGTGTCTTACAAATTATTATCTTTGATAATTTTCAACACAACTGTCTTGTTGGAATTTGAACCAAGACAGAATTGTATCAAACTATAGTGTTTCTATGTATTTGTCTTCCATTCATCATATAAACTTTAATGCATTAAATATGTCTCGGGCTAAATCTTCACAAAAAGAAATTAATATTTGTATTGATATTTTAAGGTGAAATGGCACCAAAGTATCGAACAGAGGTGTTTAACTCTTTTGTCATGGGATCCAAGTCATCTGAAGAGTTAATACGAGCAGCTTGTCTTTCAAATATTGCTGAGCTTGTTCGATTGTTAAAATATTCTGTTCAACCAATCATTTATGAGGTGAGTGAGTGGTTTCTATCTTATTATCTCTGATAATCAGCTTATCATGAATCGAAATATTTTTGCTAGTCAATGATTTGAGTGATTTTAAAACTGCATATTCAGTCATATAATATTACTTGTAATTAGGTGAAACAAGAACAATATACGTAACTTCATAAATTGTGCATTGAGTGATCAGTATTTTAAGTGAATACAGATGGATATTTAAGCGAAAGTTTTAAAAGTATTACTTCTTCGATGTGGCGAATACCTCTATCTATTCATAAGTAAGTAGTGTATCGATAGCACAATCCCCATAGAATTTCGACTTCAAATTATTTTTGCTTCTCGTCGTTTGGTGTCATACCAACCTACCATGCGAATAGATCAACATTTACACCATAACTGTTATCTCATCTATGACATCCTCATTAATATTCGTACTCTTCTCATAAAATGTCCTTTGTTTATTCTAAAACAGTTCGTCGCTCTGTGGTGAAAATTCGAATGTAAGTAGGTTTTTCCGATCTCTAAGAAGGTAATTGTAATCACCAGCCTAACATAAATTAAATGAACAATAAGTTTATGTACACCTGTTTCGCTCTTACACGGCCTCAGAAATCAGATGAACATGATTTTCAGATTTCGCAACAATTATGATACTATCAACTGTATAATTAATTTACTGTAATGTAACTTTGATTCAATATCCTAATTCGGATTTATAGTGGCAAATCTCCTCATTGGAACACTCAACTTGATGAAAGTTCTTGATATTTTATCACAGACTGTTTTCAATAAGTTTGACATTTTAAAAAGTTGTTATTATTACTCTTGAGGTATTTTATAATTATTTTATTGAGAAATGAAGGCGTTTCGGTGATATCGTTTTCTTGAGTTGTATAGTCGTATTTCTAAGTAACTTTTTACATATTGTGATCCATAATAAAATAGAGAAATATTGCAAAATTATCAGTATGGGAACTTGTGGAGGTCGTAGTATTTTAACAATTGAATTTACGAGTCGATCGAAGCTAGACTACCATAGAAAACCTGGAAGCACTGGACGGTCGTTCCATCCTAGTATGGGGCTCCTCAGTAGTTCACATCCACGATCCCGCACTCGGGACTCGAACCCATGATCCTCACTCTCGCGCGAACGCACAACCTCTAGACTACTGACCCGGCATCAAACGCTGTTATTGTCTAACTTCAGCTGTTAAAATATTACAGAATGGACATAGATAGCTAGATGTGTTTAGGGATCGAGTGTAAAAGTTTATAAAAATTAAGTGTTCCTGCATAATTTAGTGCAGTCAAAGATTACAAAATGATGTCAAGTATTGAGTAGAATAGTTTTTAGATGAAAGGGTTATTTCGAAGTAATTAAAGGTACTGAAGGTTTCCGAGTATTGAATGAAATGGAGGCTGAATCATTTAAAAAAGTGATCAAAGGTTACGAGAAAATGAAGTTATGTAACGGTGTCATATGTATTAGTAAATAATAATCTATATAATAAATGAAAAAGACAGCTGCCCATATTGTAAAGAAATTGACTAATAAGATAATAATTAATGTTTATAATTTGTAAAACTAGGAGGGAAGCTATGACCATGAAGAAACAAGGGATTAAACTTAACTCTTTTGTACAAAGAGGTTTGATTCGAAATGACAAATTGTTATATAGTTTCAGCTGTGCACAAATTCCTAGTCCAAATCTCTTTCGAGCTAGTTCTTTTAACTATGTTGATAATCTTGAACCACAATTCTCGTGGTGGCATATGGCTGGAGTTAATCATGTGTTCAAGGATTGAACTGCTGATTTGTTTGCATTCTCATTCAGAAAGCCATTAAAGTTAGCGTTTTATCTTAGTTTTTCTGGTCAAAAATCATCTGCACTAGCCACGAACCTGCTTCTCTTCTTTGCTTTGAGTAGACAAGAATAATAATGATGTTTAAACGTGACTTTTGCTTATTCACTTTTTCTATTCCTCTACTTTAGCTTTATGTATAAATGAAATGAGTAACCATAATTGCTGACGGTTGTCACATGAATACGTTGAATGTTTATTCAGATAAGAAATACTAAATGTTTTTTACAGTTTCTCCTAGTTTTTTTTCTATTATTTCTATTTTATTCTGTCCTTACAGATTTTGTTGTTGATCGAATTTCATCTATCTCAAGATGTATCAAATGTAGTTCGTAAAGCTTCAGCATATTTAGCACGCTCTTTATTCTTACCAGAAACTAGTACCACCGAATTACCCCCATGGATTCCATCTGATGTGATTCGTGACCTTCATAGGCTATTGTCAACACGTCGAATCATTGAAAAGGATACATCTGTACAAGAACAAATTGAATCAGCTCTTGCTCAAATAGATTTATGTACACGAAATACTGTGTTTTTAAAACCTGATAGTCCATCTAATCTTGTAAAAGAAATACATATTTTAAACCCATAAAGTTATCTCTTACCAAAATATACTTGTTTTGCCCGATTATTTATTTTGGTACGTTATATAAATTATAGCTTACAATGAACTAGTTCAACTGCTATTTCGTTTTGTCAGTGTTCACAATTTAAGTGGTTGAGATACAATATTTTACTCATGTAAGTTTTATTGGGATTTGTCACAAACCTACGTTCTCGACTTTATATATATTTTCAGTGAGACTACTTAATTACTTACGCCTGTTACTCACAATGGAGCATATACCACCGACCAGCATTCTCCAACCCACTCTATCCTGGGCCTTCCTTTCTACTTCTATCCAATTGTTGTTCATTCCTCTCATGTCTGTCTTCATATCTCGGAGTAATGTGTTCTTTGGTCTTCCTCTTCTCCTTTGGCCTTAAGGATTCCGAGTGAGAGTGTGCCTTGTGACGTAGTTGGGTGCTTTCCTTAATGTGTGTCCTATCTACTTCCAGCACTTCTTCCTCCTATGGAATCTTGTTTTTCCTCTCCCACAGTAGGTAGTATCTGGCCAACGGATCCGAAGTATTTTGCGTATTCAGTTTATGCCTTAGCTTTCTCTGCTTTTGTTCGGCTGATATATTGATTTCTGCCTTCTTATTCCTCCTTTCTTGAATCATATCCAGTGTATCAACAGTGAGCCATTCCTTTTGATGGTGCTTCTTGTGACCTAGAACCCTTTGCTGAGGGCCATCCTGAATTCGTTGAGTCTGTCAGTATCCCGAAGAAAAGCCGTAATAAACCTTTGTGATGATGTCCGCCCCGTTCTCCAGTGTTTCTTGAGTTTCGATTTGATCTTGGCGACCAGTGAGTGATGATCTGAGGCTATAACAACCCCACTCTTGGTTCTCACATCCCCCATCGTCCTCCTGAACTTCTTGTTGATGCAGATTTGGTTCTGTGTAGTGTGATCCGATGAAGTTCATGTGGCTTTGCGTATGCGTTTATGTGGAAATATAGTACCGCCTATGATCAGTTTATTGAAGGCACATAGGTTTGCGAATCTCTCACCATTTTCGTTTGTTCCTCCTAGTCAATGTCGTCCCATGATGTCTTCATATCCGGTGTCGTCCAATCCGACTTTGGCATTTAGGTCTCCCATCAGGATGGTCAGGCCGTTCCCTGGACACTTCTCTATGATCGACTGGAACCTCTTATGAACTGGTCTTTATCATCCTCAGTGCCATAATTTGTAGGTGCATAGCACTGGATAACATTCACTGTGATCCCCTCCTTCTTTGTTTTGTAAGATAATTTGATGATCCTAGGTTCATGAAATTCCCACCCTATAAGCACTTTTTGTGTTTCTTTGAACACTATCAGTACAAATACTTGTGTGTGCCAAGCATTTCTCCTTGATGGCCGGAGTACAACAGCACTTCTCCCGAAGTTAATCCCTTCTGTCTAGCTTGGATCCAAGGAATATCATTTATTACGAGGACCACTAAGCTTTTTTTCCTGATTTTCATAACTATTTTATTAGTTCTCCCACATGGTCTGGATTCTGATGTATCTATATTAATTAGCAAACATATATAAAGTACCCGTTTGATCATTCCTGCTTCTGTACTTACTTTTTCATAAACCTCTACAAAACGACATACTGTTTAAGGAAAAATGAGAGCACTTTTCATTAAAACATATCTAAATATGGAGACTCAGGAAATTTCCTGAGATGATGTTTACTTGACCAGATTGTTCGGACATCCCTGGTGGCAATCACCGATAGCTCGCGACATGCAAGTAAGTGGTGCGCTGTGTGTGTTCGTGTGCATTATCACTGATATCCCCGTTTGTCCTTTAAGATGAGTGCAGTGACAATCCTTGAGATTGTTCTTAGACGTAGGGCAACAGTGAACATGCCAAGCGTCCTTGGTTGTCACAGATCGACATACAACCGAAGGTGGAACAAGATACGAACCACCTTCATGAAAAAACATAGTCAAGTTGCTGATGAAAGCACGATCTACAGTATTTGTCTTTATCTGTGATCTATTTCGGATTATTAGCAGTTAACACTGAATTTAATTGTAATGAGGATCTGTAAACTGTGATGGCCTCCGGTAACCACAACAATGAAAGGCCGCTGGATGATAATGGTGCGCGAAAAAAGTGAACGCGTTCATTCATTTCTTATAGGATGTAATGACGTTTGCTTGTGTTCGCAAACTTCCTTAAACAGGAAGGAACGGGTCAAAATGGCTTTGGTGAATTTTGTGGCAAATGGCCGTCGAATCATCTAAGATGCCGATCGCCTTCTGAATGCGCTTTGAGATCTTGTTTCTGACTAGCAGCATCAGAAGTGTCGTGCGGACGTGCACAAGTATCCAACCGAAGTTCATTAGAAGTAAGCTTTACTACTTTAACGGATTGAAAACCAGTCGGCTAATATATGTTGAACCTTATTTCTATTTTTGTGATCTAGATACGTTGAATTTGAACATTATTTTGGATATGATTTTTACTTCAAAGAGGTCTAGTCAACATTTGTGGACTATAGTAGGATGCATCGTTGTCTCTGGGTTTATTGACGTGATCATTATAGCTGTCCATGGAGGGAACAGTAAACCGGCAGAATCCAAGGAAATATCCGCGGATACCATTTCGGGGCTAAAATAATCGAGAGACGTAGTTCTGCCCATTATTATGTTCAACAACTACATAGCTATCAAACTAGTAACTGTATTATGTGAGCACCTGCTTTACTTAGATATGATAAAGAAATTGGTCAATATATTGGTAGCTTTTTTCATGAAAGACTAAGAAACATAAGCAAATACGTAATTAGGGATATAACTAAGTTTATATCAAGCCATGTACTAAGTATTCCTCCCGACTTTCAGTGTAAATGTCGAACATTAGACTTCGCCTTAGTATGGAAAGCGATAGAGCGTCGATTGTTTCTCTTGTATTTAGGCCTCGTAATTTTTTAACATTGTTTAACATTACCTTACGTTTAAGCGTTTAGCATTAGCGACTTATTCGTCAGCTCATCCAGGATTACATAATAGAGCGATGGGATCGTTCAGAATTGAGTCGCTTAATTTTCTCAAAGAATGTAAGTGGTGTTGTATTGGCATTGGTCCTAACCAGCACGAGATAACTGGGAAAATAGATATCCAAGAATTAACACGGAGAGAAGGTCGACAATGATGAAGGCGTGAATATTTAATTCGTTTAACTTCAATCAGAATACATGGCTCAGTCTTGCAGATATAGTCATTCTGTATAACTTGTCTTTACTCACACTAAATATACTATTCTTTCTTAAGCTTAGATGTGTTCTTTACAAACGCTGATCGTTATATCGCGGATTTTTACGATACGACGAGTCAGAATAGACAATGATGCAAATTTATTATTATTATTATTATAGTACTAATAACGAAGTGAACCATAATTCTACAACGTAATTGACAGGAAAACAGTTTAAGATGTGCATTTGTTGAAGAACCTGTCCGATGACGTTGGTTCACATTGAGCTTTGGATTATTTTCCTCATTCTCATTTGAGGTAGATTAAGAAGCCAGTGTTTAGTGATTCCGCTGTAACCAAGCCGAGCAGCTTTATGCAGAGAACATGTGTCTATTAGGCTTCAAGCCAGCATATCGGCTACTACGATTCAAACAGTCGTTAAGTCAGGCCTAGGGAAACAAGTAATTGTGCTTAGGAATACTAGAATAACTTCATTTCAGCCAGATGATGTTATACTAGCACAAGGAAAGTCTGGCTTTGTAACGGACGTAGGGTAAAATGGGTCAATCAAATCTAGACCTTTCACATACCTACGTGATTACCTCGATGAACCATTCCCTTTGAGCGACATAAGAATATTTGTGTGCCCTATGGTTGTTCATGAACATAAATAAGTTTCGATTAAGAATGTTGGCTGTAATTGTATTGTCCTTGATTGTGTTAACAGTGTGGTAGTCGCTCGATTGCAATATACGTTCACGTGAATATATATTTTAATTCTTGCCGACGGTATTTCTTTAAACCATTTCCTTAACTTTTATATACTGTTTAGCTGACTAACAAACAGTTCGCACTTATTGGCGCACCAAGCAGGAGGCAGGTTCTAATTGCAGCTAGAAATTGAATTGTGAGTAAGGAACTTTGTGTCTATCCTAAGGACATTGAGGATTCGCACCTGCAGAACAGTATCCAACCGGATGACAACTGGTTAATCCTGAAGTGCAAGGTCATCCACTACCATGGTGAGTTACAAGCATAAAAACGATCATTTCCCATAAATAGTTTCCAAACTACAAAGGATTTATCACGCTCATTCAACAACTTGGCTGGTTACTATAGTAGCACCTTGCCACCAAAAAAAAGAACAGCCAATGAGATTATTACAGTATACCTATTAACATTTCATAGACGCGCATTGAAATGAAAAGAAGGGTTTCTGTACGATTCCGTTGACATGGGCTTAGTCAAGATGCAAACTGGAAACAGGCATGTTTAATGTCCTAAATTTCGGTTGCTAGAAACTTTTGTCTCACCAAATGCCAGATAGACATGTTTTCTTTATAAATGTTTATAGACTAGTTCAACACAGTTGGATGCGTCCCCCTCAACGTCTGCTCTAGGCGTCTGGGCAGTGCTTGGCGGCCAAATAAATCACGTGTCCGATTAAGGTAAATGCTTAAGATTTGATAAACCGCATGATGTACTGTAGAACACACCAATAGTTGCATCAGACTTGAGTGTGAACATTAGGCAGTTAATGTCTAATTCTGATAGACACAGACGTACACGGAAATTTAATATTGGACAACCAAGTTTGCAGTCCTTTTTATCATCTGAATTGAAACTGCGAACGTTGGACTCGTGTCTCCAGCAAAAAGACACGAGGAACAAATTTGTAAGTCAACATAATTCATTGGGTTATTCATTCCCGTTTCAGATGGCCATGCTGGCTCAGTTAATGGATGATAATCCGAAAACGTCCATGAGTTATATTTTGTCGTACTTCATGAAACCTGAGGTCGCCAGACATTTCACTTTACTTGGCACTTCATCGA